TAGCGTGTGCTGTTTTATCATATTAAATAAAATTTATTCTAAAACAGACTTAACTGTACGTCTGTAATCTTAGACGGCGCCCAGACGTACTGGACGTGGCAGATGTGGAGCTGCCTGATCAGACGTAATTTTGAACGATGTTTCTGGATCCCTATTAATGACAGCGATATACAAACCGACGTCACTGATCCGAAGTTGGCCACCGTTCGCGGCATCTATAAGGACACGTTTGGCGGAACCCATGCCTGGGCCGACTACCAATTCCGCCCCAACTTTACTGTGTCCATTGTTGTGGTAATCCATTGCTAGCATTACTCTGCTTATACACCAGTTGATTTGACCTTTCATTCACATTTCAGGCGCCAGAGCTATTTTCAATTGATAATGCAACTTGTGCCTTGCGACTGGCTGAAGAGAAGCTACTCGGCAAGCTTGGAATGAAAACCCTCATCGAAAGGCACGTGGCACTGTTTGGCGCTGAGTTATTATTTTTCTTACTTAATTTTACCCGCTTTTTAGCGACTGGGCTTACGACGGATACTACGATAATGCCGACGATTCATCAGAGTATGGCAGGGCCAGGGGCTTCAACTATCATCAAGGCCCGGTTAGTATGTTCTTTAGAAGTGACTGGTTCAATTTAACTTCTTTTTTATGTGTCCGCTTTGTTTTTTGTTGCCATGTCATCCATCATTCGGTAGATGGATATCGTTCTCTCAGTCATGCACTCAATGTGTTGCACTCTCCTGAAATCTTTTCTTGTATTCCTTGTGCTATAACTTTGTGCTTAGGTATACTTACCATTCTTCTATATATTTTATCATCCAGAATGGTACTTCTTCTATGCCGGTATAGGCAGTTATTCGCAGTTCAGTCCAATCAGTAGTTTTACCCTAATATCTCTAAGCCTGTGTCTATACTTAAATCTGTACAGTGTGTCCTACAGGTTTACGTTTATTGCATGTTTTACGATTTAACTGAGATTAAGGTGGCAACATGATCCGAAAATTACCTGTTTTGATTGAATAACAAACTAATTTTTGCGCATGCAGTTATGCATGCAGAAATAGCGAATAAAATATAGTTTTCTTTGTTTTGATAAGTGAAGCTGAATCACTTCCTAAGCGCTAAGATCTTATTTATATATAACAGCAACAAATGTCAACCTTGGTTCTGTAAGACGGCGATACGATGAGTTGATATACAGATCTAGAAGATGATATTGTGCTGGATTTACTGTGACCATTGAAATGCGCGAAAGCTGATTTTTTCCGTTCATCAGGCATCATTATGTTTCCATTGCGGGTTAATGCTAACGGTTGCCCTAATTATTCCATGCAGCTTTACGCTCTTCTGCTAATGACCATTCCTTTCAGGATTTTTGCATATTGTTACGTTTTCACTGATTCCTGGCAAGTTTTATTAATTAAGCAATATTTATATATGAAAAAATATGAAAAGATGCGAAGATGAAGGAATGGATAGGAGCATAATCAAGAGTCTGCGATGCGATGTCTTTGCCTAAGTGAAGACGATAAAGTGGCAACGGACTGGATGTATTGCAAGAAAAGCTTTTCACTGCTGAACCGGAAAGACATTAGAATAGGTTCTAAAGGAGAGTAAACGTCACGTAGGAATACCTTCAGATCCATGGCAGAACAAAATGAAGAAGTTTGTTGGATCAAGGTGGGCATACAGTGTCATGGAAGTCTAGCAACGAACAAAAGCATTCATAGTTTTATTTTTTCTTATTTTCCATAAATCCATATAGTAACTGGTTTATTATAATTATGGTATTGAACACTCCCTTTGAGCTTTGATGTGCGTGCACCTGAACATAGTGCCTGATACCTTCTGAAAAGTAATTGAGAGTCAATTAAAAAAGTCACTCCGTGCCTAAGAATCAAATCAACGTCTTTGTCTTTCAGAGTAAGGAAGTATGTTCCTGCTCCCCAATTTAGATGATATGCAATAAACAAATTTTTTCCTGTAATTGCTTTTGTTTTTGTCTTATTTTTACCAGAAATACATTTTCTCGAAACGTAAGCAAACGTATATCTCGCTTTACGACATTCCTTTGCAGGAATGGTTGTGGCTCACCGGCTATTTCCTTCGGGCGTTACTTGTCACGGCAAAGCGTGTGCAAAATGAGGACGTCTGGAAAGAGACCGTTGCCAAGGTGGAAAGAATCTTGTCCAGACATTCGGCACATATGCACTCTTCGCCATGGAGTTCGTTGCCTGAACTGACCAATAAGGTAAATTTGTTTCCTTTCTCATACGCATTACTTTGTTACCTATAAGTATCCACGCATGTACTGGCAGGCAAATTTTGCACGAC